ACAACTGTTTGAAGGAAATGATAAATATAAATTATAATATAAAAAAAAAATAATTCTTTTGGCTCAACCGTGAATTCGTCTCGAGTCACATTTTTCGCTAGGGCAAACTGGAGTTTATGGATCCGTCCCTTTTGTTTGCTATACGTTCGTGTCATGATATAAATGAAAGATGTGAGGCAAACGAGTACGCCAATGAGCCAATAACTAATCAACATCTAGAGGTAGCCAAATTAATAGTTTTACTGACCTATACTATATCGGATTCAATCTGCTTCAGTGATTGTATTTAGCTTTTTGATGTTTGATATTTGTGCTATTGCGATCACTTGTAATCTTTTGGCTTACTGAAATTGGACAAATGTTAATAAAACAAAATCTTTTTATTCCAACGTAATCTGTAGGGAAAAGAAGTTGTTATCTAAAATATTCACTAACATGTAGTCTGTTCAAGCGTAATGAGTGGTTTGGTTGTTTGGCCTGTTACTTTATTCTTTTGAAGCTGAGACAAGAGGTATGGTATCCCGACGATGGCTATTGTACAAAGTTTTATTTTCATGGTTTGAAAAGACTCACATTATTTTATTTATCTGTAGATCCATTGTCAGTCTTTAGTACATAATATTTTACTACCTAACTTACACCTTTTACTTATGGTCGATTGAAGCTCAATTATTTGCGTCAACTTTTCATGACAAAGCCAGGTTTATTTTCAAATTCTGTGAGAAAATATGGCCTTTATATTTGTTGAAAGGGGCACATGTCCGTCTAATGAAGGTCAACAGCCTTTGGCATCATTTTCATAGTTCAGTTGTTCACATTCAGTTTTTGTGAGCAGGTAGATTCTAAATAACTATTTGATTTTGTTTTCGTATTCATTGGTTGTGTTATGATTTTGATTCAAGGAGCCCTAGGTATTGGCTTCATTTCTAGTTTGTAAGGACTATGTATCAGTTGTATTATTATGAATAATAATTTTGTACGTCAACTATATTTTGTCTACGGCTTCGTTGTAAGGTTGTTAGGTGAAAATTCGTGTCTAATAGTAGTCATCGGACCTTGACCTGATTTATCTTGGTTTAGTGCCTCACTTTTATTTTTTTTCTTTTATTTATGCCTCCGAAGCTCTCTTCTGGATTAACCTTCATTCCGAACGCTAAATCCTAAAATTTGAAATCCAAGGATGGATACATGAATTTTTGGTTTAATGACTATGTACATGTAATGAATAAGTTAGATCTCATATCGGTTTTGAAATACCTACATCATGTTTGATATGTGTGACCATATCTTTACGTAATCATAGTCTGACGCAAGGGAGAAATTTGTGTATGTCGATTTTTGTCTCATTCCTTTATAATGTTTTCGTGTCTAATTTTTTTCATAGTTAGTAGTTACTTGTCTTTTGCTATAATTTCTTATCGCAAATATGAACAGGTTATTAAAGACTATAGTAAAAGCAAAGAGGTAAGTACAGAAAAGCACTAAGTCTACTAGTATACATATAACATTGTACCACAAATATATTTTTAGTAGTTTTTTACTGGCTTTCATAAATATTGACCAATTCAGATTGGTTGTTGAGCTATTTTAAAGTATGTTCTTTCTACAATATGTAATATCGCTTATTCAAGTCATATTAAACTTATAATCCTTGGTCCGTATAAACTTCCCACTTACACGATCACCATTATTCCCATACACCACACACCATCCCTCTTTACCACATTGAATCATGCACCATTCAAAATAACTCATATTGATGTAATTTATTTACAGAAAAAGCGTGTGTTTACAAGTTTTTATATTAAAAAAAAAAAATAATAGCGAAGTTGTAAATTGCATACATCACTCCTAATAGTGCAGGATAAACCATTTTACACTTGATTATCTTGCGTTTCAACATTCGACTTAGGTTTCTGTAGAGCCATGGTACGTGTAGCGATTCTGTTTATTATTTTGAATATGATCGAGTTGAATGTGTATCAGATTCTTTTAGATTATTAAGTTTGCATCAGGTCGGCCTTACAATCAGAATGTTTGTACCCACGACCCAATAAAGACGGTCAGTATGGTTATGATATACTACCATATAGTGCTTAAAGTGCTTTCAAAGTGGTATTTAAATTACTATTCAAAACATGATAGTGTTGGGATAAGTTCATTGTTATTAAGGTGAATTTATAATGAAATAATTAACCTACACTCTGTTATTATCAATCCCGGGGTCGTTTTCCCAGAAATTTTGATAGACTGCTAATAAGAATTGTCGCACTAACTATAAAACAAGTGTACTATGAATAAAAAGAGATGAGAGTATACATCACTGACACAACAACAGTAAACAGTGATATGTAGATAAACATACGGCCTTCCAACAATAGTAAACAATGATATGTAGATAAACATACGGCCTTCCAACAATAGTAAACAATGATATGTAGATAAACATACGGCCTTCCAACAATAGTAAACAATGATATGTAGATAAACATACGGCCTTCCAACAATAGTAAACAATGATATGTAGATAAACATACGGCCTTCCAACAATAGATAGTATAGATTTTGCGCATAGAGTCTAAAAAAAGTTGAGTATAAAAACATTGTAAGTTTCGACATTGCAGACTTTATCTAGTTCTATTTTTTTAATTTTTTTTTTGTATATGTGTTTCGCTGACATTTCGTTTCCATTATCTTTTAAAGTTTCCTATTTAATACCTAGCAAACAAAATTAATGGCTTTAGGTATATGTTAGTATCTGATAAATTCAGTAGACCGAGTTAAAATCATTTAATAAGGCAACAGACATTTTTGCACATGAGCACATAAGCTATGAAACCATTGTCGTTACTTTTTTTTATTGATCATTCATATATAAATTTCAGCTTACCATTCATTTAAATAACTACGGATCACTTGGGCCAGTTGAATTCAGTGGTTGTCCGTTCTTTCACGTACCATTTTCAACATTCCTAGAGTCTCTTTGGCTTGTAGAATTATGTTTATGGGGATCCCTGTAGTTTCTTGTTTTATTGGTTTAGAAATGGTTGCAGCAATAAAAACCAGATAGTTTCCAAAGACTAAGATTTTCTTAAACGGTATTAAAATTTCGTTTTTACTGTATAAAAATAATTTAATTTTAGATGTAACGCGTCTTCTGATTAGCTGAAAGTTTTTTGTCTATCTTTCATGTGACCGTGGCGTCATCAACGTTTTTTCATGATTTACTCCTTAAAAATTGAATTAAGAATTAAATTCCTTAAAGATACTCAGAGCTAAATTGACCCGAAAAATGACATTCCTTACTTCTGTGTCAGAGTGATTGGTAGAAATGAATCCAGATTACAAAAACATACAACTGATGAATTCGGTCCTCCTCAAATATAATATACATCAATTCTTCCTATTTGACCGCCATCGATGATCTTATCCGATTCCCTCAGGTTATCTTCCCCTTGTTGATTTAACGACTTTAGAACATTGCTGAAATAGTTGTGCTTCTTCTTTAGAATTTATTAAAAACAAAATTATACCATGCATGAATAATGTGGAAATTGACCGACATATAAATTATTAGTTTTCGTCATCAAGGAAATTCGTGATGGCCTTAAGCATTGACATTGGATAGTATGGGGACATACAAATATTACAACAACAGTTAGAGGCAGGTCGCATTGCCTCATTGAATTTTTGATATGCTATATATACAAAACTGCCGGGGATTGTAGTTGTTTCAAAACAAAACTAAAGCAAGACAATAAGTAATTGGATATGAGATACATATAACGAAGACATTAATAACCTATTCCGAACTGAAATATTTTAATGACTTAATAAATATTAAATATGTTTTAACAATAAAGAAAATGGTACATTGACTCTTGAGTACACATGATGACAGTTTTTCCTTTTATAACAATTGCATATTTGATTATATAATTATTACTGTTCTCCTTTTATGCCGGCTAGACAGAAATGAATGAACATTTTAATTCACAGTTTGTTTAAGTCGTGCACAATGCACATTTTGTAGAGAATTTGAATAGACATATACCAGCACCATGTCTTTTGTTAATGTACCAGGGCAAGATGTTCTGCATGGTAGACATATAAATATTTCATTTTAACAGTCGGTTTCATGTAAAAGTTACTTGTATGATGATTATATAACTGTTAAATAAATTTACTATGTACAGAAACATGTATAGGCATGGACAAAATTCAAAGGAAAACATTTTTAACGTTTATTTAAAGGTTTTCTAACTTGAGCTATAATAATTGATATTTTGGCGTATTCTATGTAACATTTGTGTATTTGCTCATGTGCATTGTAAAATCACAGATCTTTAGATAATTGTGTCCATATCCAATAGTATCGTGATAGTAATAAATAATAGTTGATAGACAGGTAAATGAACCCTTATAAATTGAACTGCATAACTTTAGAAAAGAACAACAAAGGCCAGCAAAAATGTAACGCATTCTTGGAAAAAGGAAAATTTTACTGTTACATTGAAAAGTAAATTGTTTCTCTAAAGTTCTAATACAGATTGCTGATTTGTCGATTACCAAAATAAATTACACAATTTAACTACTTACCTTTTGTAGTAAAAGGTAACGGACAAAAATTTAAATGTGCAGTAAATGTGTATAGTACCAGTATTCCGACATTTAGTATCTTGGAGCATTAACATCTATCAATTTTAGTTTTAAGTAATTTATAACCTCAGTCTGTTTCAATCATATGCAATTTTACATTTGAACAAATGTTTTAAAGTTGATGCATTTAAAGAAAATTACTGTTGATTGAACAGTGGTATTTCATATTCTGTTACATGTATTTATAATTATATATGATATAATTAACATAGAAATAAAATACTGCTGTGCACTGCGCTACGTCGCAGTCGAACGCAGCGCAGTCGAAACTACTAACAACTACAACAGTTTTATTATTAATGTTTTCGTTTTAAACTTTTTTTTTTTATATATAAATTTAGGTAGCAGGACAGGGAACTTTCACAGGCTACATCTATAAAGTGTGGCACAACCTGATGGGCAACTATTTCAATAGACAACCAGAAGCAAAAAGTCCATTAGATAAATGTAATGATGCCCGTTCAAAGATAGCCCAAGCCAGAGAAAAATATCTTAAAAAGTTGCTGCAAGAAGAGAAAATTTCTAATGGTGTTACCGGAGATGAATTGGATGGTAAAGTTAAAGGTAAGCCTTGGCTTACTTTTTGTGCATAAATTTATTGTCCAAAAAAATCAGATTTTAATGCCTAAGGGAGTATCAAAAGCGCGAACAAAATATTTTAATTTTATCTACGTTTAGTGCTAGTTGTAAGTCACTTAATGAATAATTTCTTAGAAATGTCCATTCTATTTTTCTAGTTTGTTAATTTTCAATAGATGCTGAGGTAATTGATTTCACCAAATAGTGTCCTTTTTCGATCCTTTTATTGTCATCTTTTAAATTGAAGATTAAATTTTTATATCTCTCTTATATAAGCGTGACCTTTAATCATGGCCGCACCTGTCATTTTCAAAAGGGGTTGTTTATTGATCAAGGATTATTTTGTGGAGCATCTTTACTTTAAATTTATCCATATTCATAGGAAGACCTAAAAAGAAACCTTTGAAATCAATGCCATCCATTCTGAATGATGTTGAAGTCCAGGCGATGAAAATGAATCCCAAGGACTATAATTATCCGTTTGAAAATCTGGTATTTGAAGGAGGTGGAAACAAAGGATTGGCCTATTGTGGAGCTGTGAAGGTAAACACATGTATTAAGTTATTTGGAAAACAATCAAAATGATAGCAGATTTATTACAGATTTAGCCAAACATGGAACTTGTGAACTGCATGATACAAACAGTAAAAAGACTGTTTCAGTCATATTATCATCTCAGGCTGGAAAATTCATATAGTTTTATTCGACAATTCTACAATGAGGTTCAAGGGGACAATTTCATAATATTGGTATTTTTTAAGATTTTTTCTCTATAAAATATTTCTGAGGTAAGTTTTATAAAATATTGCCCCACAAAAGTTTGTGTGATACCATTCATAATACTTAAAAATGTAAATAATTTTCAATTTGTTAGGTAAAATTTAGAAGGGATAAGGGGTTTAAAATTTAGAATTTTGGAAAAAAAGTTAGTGTTGTTAAAACCAAACGATATAATTATTAATAATTTGATGTGTATATTGCCATTTCATTAAAAACAAAGGGATATCTTATTTTATGTACTCACTACTTTAGCCAATGGAAAAAGCTTTAGGTTAAATTTCATGCAAATTCAGATTCGATTTGCATTAAAGATTATACTAACAGTTTATTATTTCACATTTTAAACGATCTCAATTGGGGTATACCACGCATCTCCTTTGTTCATGATTATACCTTAAAAGAACATTAATGTAGGCGAACGCCAACTCATATATCTTCAAAATAAGAAATCACGGATATAAAGATTACGAAAAAGGAATGTCATCTAAATCCAAAGACTCAAATGACAAATAAAAGTGCAATAAATGAATCATATCTTTGGAAATATCCAAGCGTTAATTTATGTGTCAATTTAAAATCTAGAAGGAATTTTAAAGTTACTTGATCATAGTTTTACACTTAAATTGTTTTCTTTTCATTTGAAGCTGCTAGAAAAACTTGGTATTTTTCCCCAAATCAAAAGATTTGCTGGGACGAGTGCTGGTGCAATGACTGCAGCCTTGCTGGCTGTTGGATATAATTCAGATGAAATTGAAGAATCTCTTAGTCAAGACTTGTCAAGAATATTTCTTGGTATGATCACACTATAGCAGAATATATTATTAAATCTATTATTTACTTTATACATTTCTCTAATTTTTTGCCGATTTGTACTTTCCCAGACCGGTTGATATTTTCATGTTAATCAACGTAGCAAAGATGATAATTCGATTGCTATCAGTTCTACGTTGGTCAACATTCTCCTGATTTTGCTATTGTGTCGTGACAAAAGGCGACAATGCTGATGACGTAACATAAAAAATACACTTTTAAGATCGTATGAAAAGAAAGATAAAGTTTGTTTATATTTCGTCTAAAAATTCTTGGAGAAACAGGATACACCACCGATTATCGTACAATGCGATATTTCTCCACTATCGATAGTTAAATTTTAGATATTTTAATAAAAGTTGTCTCGAATAGTAGAATATCGTATTGCACTCGATTCAGTGGTTGGCATGTTGAATCTATATGTATTTGCATTATCATATACAACTAATACAAAATTCCTATAAATTTGCTCTTTATGTTATGTTAAATTACATACCCAAATTATATAAACATGTCTCTTCATGGGATGCTATCTCATTGGCGTATACCCCCGCATCTGTTTTTATTCATAAGCAAAATTTAACTTGAATAGATATAGCTGAATCCACACATTCATAAATACACATATATACGTCTTTTGCAATGGCGATCGATATAAGTTTTAAATTCATTTCTATTTAAAGAAATATTTACAAGTCCCTTATTTTATTCTTATAATTACATTACATGTAAAATACAAATAGATGCCTCAAAATCAATCAATAATAACATTAATAATGAATTATTGTTTTATAGCATTAAACTAAGTTGTATATCGATTATTGAAGATGCTAAGATAAAAAAAAAGATTAACGGTTGTTTTAATCAAAAAGACAAGAAAATAACCACGGATAATAAAGTGAAAAAGACAATAAAAATTGAAATAAAAGAATAGAATAAAGGACAAAGAATTATATACAGATGTGTGCATTCCCCATTTAACGAGAAGGTCACTTTGACCGAAATTTTACAATTGATAGATTTAGATTAAGTTTAAAATCAGTGTTCAGATCATTGAGAAATCGACTGACAATCATATAGTTTGTTTCAAAGTTGTGTTTAGGAGAGTATAAATTTGTGCGCTAAAGGGTAGGTCAATCAGACCTACATGTCATGCTTCATTGGATTCTTTTAAGTTGGCAGATAAAATCATTTTTAATTCCTTTTGAATTTTGTCATGATTGGTAGAGACTTATCGGTGTGCTAACAGTTTAATGATTATGTGATGAGGAGAATGTTTACATACCTTCCGCTTAAGATAGACTTTCCATAGATAGTCCTTATTTATACGCTTCAAGTAAATTAACGTTTTATAAAAGCAGAATCAAATGGTAAAGACATGGTGGCATTTTCCCCTTATATTCTAATTTTGTACAGTGTACTCTTTTCTTTTGACAGATGCATCCTTTGGAATTTTTAGTTTATTGCCAAATTTACTGACGGGATATGGTTGGAATCCAGGAAATCGTATATATCAGTGGTTTGGTGAAGCTCTTGCCAAAAAATCAAATGGAAATCCAGATATTACATTTTTAGAGGTAAAGTTAATGTTACGGTGACTACAAAATCTTCTCCCAATACTAGCGAAATATGAAGATGGGTGCGTGTGAATAGTAACATCTATCGCACACCCTCAAACAGACCTACGTATTGAATATTTACATCTATCTCGCACCCCCAAACAGACCTATTGAAAATATGTAAAATCTACTATTTATTTTGAAAGACTGGCATTTTACTATAAAACTCACGTTGAAAAAAATTCTTTTGATGTTGCTTGTTACATTTAAATCCATATTTAATTAAACATGATGGTTTTTATTTTTTAAACATTTAAGTGTTAAATTGTTCGTAAATTTTAAACGCAGTTTTATCAATTTATAGATAAACCTATATTTCGTCAAATGGAACGACGCACGATCTATAAATGTCTTTAAGAATTGATAACCATATAACAATGTCTGCAAATACTGCGGTTTTCTCTTCATTGATTTCTCTATTTGTACAAGGGTGACGTTTAACAATACAAGTGCACATGAAGACCTTATGTTTCTAAATATAGTTCAAAAAGGGTTATACTACATAGTGATGGCTCAAATTGAAAACAAGTAAATTGCATCACTTTTTGAAACCCTATGAAATTTTTTTTAAAAAGCATACTTTGCGAAACTGATTATCCTAAGAAAATTATGGTAAAATGTTCATTTAGTGACAGTCTTGTACGTTATATTTAGTGACAGTCTTGTACATTATAGTGGCTTGTTTAAACTTTATGTTTGGTCTTTTTTTTAAAGAAAACTTTGTGATGTAACTGATGTGAATGTTTCTTTAACACTTTAAAAAAAAAAAAGGTTTATTCACGACATGAAAACTGTATTTGTATTTTCTGTATATTTTATGTTATAGCTTTACGAGAAAACCGGAAGAGAGTTGTGTATAGTTGTGACAAATTTGAATCATATGATTGAGGAATATTGCCATGTTAAAACTACGCCAAATATGCCAATCAGACTTGCCGTTCGTATGTCAATGTCCATACCAGGTAATCAAACCTAGCAATTAATCAAATTATTGAAATTATTATTTATACTTTTGGTATTATAACTATCATTATCATTTGATATATTATTTGAAATCAAATCTTCTTCGTGGAAAAGGCAGCTTCCAAACAATTTATTCTTTAAATTACACAGTAAATCTATTGATTAAGTTAAAATAGATATAAGAAGATGTGGTATGAGTGCCAATGAGACAACTCTCCATCCAAGTCACAATTTGATGCATACTATTAGTTACACAGTGTGCTAGTGACCTATTACGATATATACGGGTCAGTAAATTCCATATGAGGCACGACCCCGTATATATCGTATTAGGTCACTAGCATGTACTGTGCAACGGATTTGTCTTACAGACTATCTTAATATGGGGAATTCAAACGTGGTTTTTTCAGTTGTTGTTAAAAATAAGATTGTTATCATAATCAAATTATAAATCCAAATATTTATATACCCTTAGGGTTTTGTTCTTCATTCTTAATTTGCCCCTTTTAAGTCTTTTAACTCTTTTAAGTCTTTTTAATATCGTATGATGAGTGTGTTTACACCATGTCTTTATTACTAATACAAAATGACCAATTTCAATAATTGAAAAAGGGGGTCTTTCGGGAAATTTGACTTTATTTAAAAAAAAAGCATAATAATGCAGTTTATTCAATTACATTGAATAACAGCACATTGCAAATGTCAATAAAAGAAGATGTGGTGTATACATCAATGAGAAATCTACCCAATAATATTTTGAAACATACAAAAAATGAAAACAACACGTTATAAATTTCATGCGTCCGAAGCGCTTTTCTGGATTCAACAGAAACACTCAAACCTGAAGATTTGAAAGCCAACTTGAAGGATGTATAAGAACCGAAACAGTTGAAGAGCTATATAATCAAAAAGGACATAAACAAATATAACCAAATCCATCTAAGGTCAACTTTGCCTGAGGGAGTTGAAATCTTAGTTTCTTTATAATTTCAATAAACGGACAATTTTAGAAAGGTTTGTTATAAATCATGTCAGTAGTGAATTACCGACTACTGAACTACAACTACAACACTTTCTATTTTGACGTACTCAAATCTAAAGAGTGCAATACACTCTTATTAAACTATATATACTTTGTCATATTTTTTTTGCATTGTTTTTTTTCAGGAATGTTTCAAGCTACAAATTATACAGAAAATGGAGAAACCAATACGTATGTTGACGGTGGCGTCTTATGTAACTTTCCAATACACTGTTATGACGGTAAGAATTTTATACACAGTCACATACACATTTGTTATTAACTTTACTTTTTGTGATTGATGATTGATTCAATTACACTTCAGTGTTAGGCTGAGTAGAACCTTATTTCTTGGCGAGCCCTTGAGTCTGGTCTTGAAAGAAGTGGATAATTGTCGGCGAAACTAAACTTCATTAGTACTGTCCAAACCCTTTGTGAATTAAAAATGTTTAAGGATTTGTGTTCTGAACTTCGTTTTAGAACTTTTCACAACCGAATACCAATAGTGCTTAGAAATAAGAAGATGTGGTATGAGTCCCAATGAGACAACACTCCATCCAAGTCACAATGTGTAAAAAGTTAACAATTACAGGTCAAAGTACGGCCTTCAACACGAAGCCTTGGCTCACACCGAACAGCAAGCTACAAAGGGCCCCAAAATCTGTATTTGGTCTCCTAGGATGGTAAGATGTATGATGTACAAACAACGGGATTGGCCATTGTACTTGAGATTTTAAACGTTTAAAGTATCATTTCAATCATTCAGATCGAAATATTTGTTATTGTAGATACATGTGTTAGATTACAATTAAGATCTTATTATTATGACATTATTGTACTTCCTAGACTGTAATATTATTACGACAGACACATAACCTTTAGGTATAGTAGTGATGTTAGAATTTAGATTATATGAATAAGATGTGACAACGATATTCAATAAAATACGCATCAACATAAATGAGAAAAGATTTTGTTACATCAATCTGACAGTTCGGGGATTTGTTTTTCTCAAAGTGTATCGTGACAGACAGAATCATTTGAAGCTCATATACACAATCCATCAAATGTTTAAGCAGCACTCAGAGTAAATCGATAGTATATGTGTAAAATGAATAAATTGTGTTTGATCTATAGTATAATAGTTTAAAGGTAAAATTCATCTTAAAATGATTTGGAGATTAACGTCGTAATATATAAAGATACAGATTTCAAATTACAAAAATTCACATTAGATTTTTTTCAGCCATTCTTAAAATCTTTTTGGTTATTACTTGCAATGAGTTTATACAATCTGTCGGTTTCTCAAAATCCAATAGTTTAAAGCTGGGCAGTAGATGAACGATTGACTGGGAAGTAGATTTATTGTCATTTGGACTCCCATCCATCGTTATTACCTGTGATGGTGTCAATTTGGCGTTGGGAGTGTATTGATACTCTAATACTCGGTCACCTGCGGTCAGAACTGGGACATTAACAATGCCATAATATATACCCATTGCATTTGTTTGTTTTGTTTCCACTCATAGTATCTGAAAAACGTATCTAATCAGAAAAAAAGTTAACTTTTAATAAGCACTCGATGACAGTCTAGCAGGGTCCATCCGACCTGGACCTCATTATCATAGTTCATTGATCAACCGTAAGTTTTCATAATAAGGTCTGTTTCTGTGAAACTTTAAAAAGAGTCCGTTTAACTAACCTTGATATCATTTTCTAGATCATTGATCAATGTTCAGTTTTCATACTAAGTTCAGTTTCCAAGATAATATAACTAATAGGTCAACTTTATTTGATATACAGAATGATTGTAAGGGTACATGTCTGTCTTATAGGATTTACCTGACATGATTTTGAATGGGTAATTGGCCAACTGTTCAGTTATTTTTCGGTTAGTACAGTAAAGTCTGTTTGAGATACTAGTAGTTAACTTTACTTCACTTTTACAACATTTACATGGTTCCGTTGATCATTATTAAGGTTATACGATTACACCAGATTCGCAGTTAATATAAGTAAAAAAATCAACTTTAATCGATTCAGAAATTGATTGCAAGTGGTACACAAGTCCATCTGACAGGGTTTATCCGACCGTGACCTCGTTTTCATTTATCATTAATACTGGTAAGTTTTAATGATACCAAGACATTGATCTAAAGGACTTTCAAAATAAATTCCAGTCATAATCAGTAAAGCAGGCCAGCGTAATCTTTTTAATTTTCACCAAGCAACTAAAAACACATGTAACAACCTACACATGTTTGGCTTTGAGCGTTCCTGACGCAAAAAAATATAAAGTGTTATTTTTATTTTTAAAGATGATTCTTCGTTTAACATGCGACATTTAGAAGAAAGAGAAAATATCTGTTGGCTTGGGGGGTCAGAGTAATATGACTCAGAAGGGTACTTTATCTTCCTGTGGACTAATAATACCTTTTGATCAATCACGAAAACACCAAATCACTTTGACGGTCTTGTACTAAAATAGGGTATATTTATCTCGGATAAGCATGGCGTGGTCCTGAATATGCGTGTGATAGTTGCTACTGGAAGTACATCAGCCATCAATCCATAAATGAATTAACCTCATGTCTCATTTATCACTTTGTATTCATTTGTTCATCCTGTTATCTGTAATGTACATGTTGTTTCATGACATTTAACCAAAAGCTTTAAAATACTTATAATGACTGATGCAAAACCGATAGATCCTTTATTTGTTCCGACGGAGCTGTATTGGTGGCAAATATTATTTTCATTGTTATTCCGAAGATACATTTACATGACAAACTTGTTTTTGTATTTTCTAGGCTGGTGGTTATCCATGCGACAAGGGGATAATTTTTTAGAGAGATTACAACCTTTGGACCAGATTCCGCAACTGTTAGCTAGACGATATCGGTTCGCTTACGATCCAGATTCCAATAAAACCTTAGGACTTCTGTTGGTAATATTATTATTATGCATCGCTTATTACTATTTAACACAAAACATTAGTCAGATTCAACATTCTGATTGGAGTATTGTGCGAAATACTTGAACTTTTAACAATAGGAAGTTAAACTAGATTTGCCATTGCAAGCAATAGCGGATGGCACCCTCCCCCCATTGCCAGGTGAGCGGCAGCCATTTAGCAAATTCCAAAGTCAGAGTGCATCTACACATGCAAAATCATTTTTGTAAAGTTTCATTAAGTTTGGAGCATTTTGAACTTTTTTGCTGTTTCCATGCTTACGGCAGCCATTTTGAAAATTCCAACTTCAAAATGCAACTATGCCCATGCCAGTTACCATTTCTGTAAAGTTTCATCCCGTTTGCAGCATTTTGATTTTTTTTGAAATTTTGAACATTTTTGCTATTACAGTGGATAATTCCAAAATTCTAAAAGCAGACATCTCATTGCCACATGTCATGTTATATATCAATACAGTTTCATTGACTTTGGTCAAATACTCTTTAAGAAAATGCTGATTTTATGCATTTTCACATAGGGTCAATGTAAAACTTGCCCCCAGTTTCCATGACAACGGCGCCCATTTTGGACTATCCAAACATTGTCTTGACATCTTAGCATACTGGGTAACATTTTTCATAAAGTTTCATCCAGTTGGGTCTTATAACGAAAGAGTTAGAATTTTTGATATTTTAGCTGTTTCCTTGGTAACGGCAGCCATTTTGAAAATTCCGAAGTCAAACTGCAAATCAGCACATGTCAGTGACAATTCAATTGGAGTTTCTTCCAGTTTGGAACACTTTGATTTTTTTCGCATTTTTGCTGTTTCCATGGAAACGGCGGCCATTTTTTACCATTCCATAGCAAGGTGCACAACTTTACATGGGGGTCCTCATTATAGTAGAGTTCCATCAACATTGGTCCATTGGATTCCAAGAACTCGCGCGGACAAAATGTGTGGAAGAAAAATAAGAAAAAAAAGAAACGTAGAATAACAGTATGTCACCCCAACTCCGTTGAGGGTGCCATAATTATCAGTGTCTTGACAAAAATAAGTGCATTGCATTGAATTAGCTAGGGAATTTACTAACATTTCAAAATACAAGAAGACATCCGCAAAATTTAGGGCGTGTGATATGAATGTTTTTTTTTCTTCTTCAAAATTTGCATTGTCAATGAAAGAGTACGTGAAGTACTTAATAACGTTGAAAGAAGTTAGTGAACAATTTTCGTCATTTACAAATGCTTATTCCATTTGAAGTTACAATGTAACTCAATCTTTTAAGCCATAGTCCAAATCTATTTTCATTTAAAAACGTTGCGTGCGTTATTGTTTAGAAATATTTGGTTTGTATTTGTCCGATCTCATTTTATTTTGTCACGTTTCAATGCGTTATATTGTCTCGCCTCGACGAATGCGAAATAGCGAGACTCATGCGTGCTGTGTCCGATGTTGGCGGCGGCGATGGTGTTGTAACGTGTAAAGAGCGATCAATGGATCCGTATCTGAATAAATCAGGATTTCAAGTGTTCAACTCAATTTTTCACCAAAGCCAGTTGTCTTATTCAAAACAATTAACACATCCTTAAATGGATTCACAACGCAAAATATATACAATGTACATAAATCAAAATGCAAGGTGAAGTACCTCATTCACAATGCATAAACACAATGTTTCATAACTGAATATATATACACAATGTCACTATGCAATCACTATGCAACATGTATAAGACCGATTTATTCACAATGTCACTAACAGATCACTATGCAACATGCAACAGGCCCTTTATTACACAATGTCACCAACAGATTACTATGCAACATGCATCAGGTAAGTATCACACAAAACATATGAACACAAAAACAAACATATATATATATATATATATATATATAACTTCTATTTACAACGTCCACCAATATGTAGTATCACCTTGTGAGTATGCAACTAACCACAACAACACAATGACACATTTACACTTGCACAAATCCTTCCATGCACAAGGAATATATATATAAACACAGCTGAACTCGCGCACTAACTATCCCTATGAGTTTCCGCACAATGAATATTATCCAAACTGGTAAGGTTAAACGAAGTGCACTTTCACTTATACACTTCCACAATATAACAACTTGCAACACCAGCAAGTATACACCATGTATTCTCACTAATATACATCTATGAAGTATTCACACTTCCACAATAGTACAACTTGCATTCTCACTAATACAATAACTTATTATATAAGTTTCACTTTATATCACAATCACTATTGCAATATCCACATATAAATCCGAACACTATTTATATATCCTTTGGAATCACTAAATTCACTCTACTTACCAGTTGGAATATAATCCGTGATGTTATCACTTCAACGGTCCACATAAAACTGACAGAGTTTCTCTGTCTTGGGCTGGTTTATATACTACCATCTGGATCAGTCCATTATTCTTAAAGGGGTGAAAATCAAGACTATACCAACTTTAGGGGTGTTTTAAGTAACAGATGGTGCTCCAACTATGGAGAAACTTATATACATATAGAAACACAATAAATAGGAAAAGACAACTGGTATTTCACATCAAAATAAATGAACTATGACCAATTTCCGTTACAGTGTCAACAATGTATTAGTTTATGATTATGTCATTTTAAGGGGAACTACAAGTAGTAGGTCAATGGTATTTGGTATGAGTTGTATTAGCAATTGCAAATCCCATTTCAATGGAAATTTGTTAACCCCGCCCCTCAGTTATGATCTATTGACTCTGAAACTTGCATAATTTACATGTTAAAGCTAGTGATTAGGTCAGTTTAACATGAAACATTAATTGTTTAAGTCAATAATATTTGGCATGCAATTGTATAAGTATTTTCATGTCTCATTTCCATGGAGATTATATGCCCCCTCCTCCTCACCATGGTTCACTGACTTTGAAACTTTTGCATAGTTTACATGTTAAAGTTTGTGTTATTGTCATTTTAAAAGAACTCCCCTTATAATAAGTCAACGGTATTTGGTATGGGGTTGTATTACCATTGACATTGCACGTTTCCACCGAGATGTTTGGCCCTGCACCTGCAGTCATGGTTTATTGTTTTTGAATGTTTTGCATAGTTTATATGTTAAAGTTTTGCCGTTCTAATTTCAACATGAATTACAACATAATATCACAATTACTTAAAAGCGAGACATATATCTGTGTCAACAGTTTTTTTTATATGTTGTTGGTTCATAGGCAAATGAAAATATGCTTACATTGGAAATGGAAGTATTCACATGAACCTGTAATTTCAAGTTATTTTCATTTCGTGTGGTGCGTTGTGTAAAATTTTTGGTTGATTTGTCCAATTTTGTTTCGTAGAGGATATTAACAGAAATATGTACAGTAACAGGAAACTGCTACTGCATTGAAGTTGAAACAAATTATATATGTTTTTGACATTTTGACAAAACTAGAAAATGTATTCAGTTTATTGTGATCCGTCTATTGTTCTGACAACATTTTGGATAGTTTTGAGCTTAAGTGTTTTAAACAATCATGTCATACATCAAATCCGAGTGCCCAGATTTTGTAAATGAATCGTTACGTATGGTCTGTGATAGATACAAAGTTAAAAAAGGGACAAGTGTTGTAAAGTATTTTGTTCTCTCTTCAACTTTTCACGGTTCTAATGGTACAGTTTTTTTTCGATGTACAGAATCTTGTATAAACGTTTTCCGTTCATATGTAATTAGATCTTCAAAAGTCAACATAACCAAAGTATAATTAATAATAATGATAAATCAAAGTACTGAAGTACTGAACATCGGATGACCACAAGTTCTTGAGGATGGTCAAAAGCACTTGTCTCAGAAAAAACAACATATCTCTTTACCTGAAACTGAGGTTAATGTACAGAGATATATTTTTTTCTGAGACAAGTTCGTGCGTGGATGATGAATAAATGACAGGAAATTCAACTTCACCGTAATAACTATTATATTGTAGTGATACTATACAATTATAGCCTTTGTATGAGGTCGATACAAGGATATATTGACCTGAAAGAAGTATATTGACTGAGGACGAAGTCCGAGGTCGATATACTTCTTTGGGTCGATATATCCTGTATTGACCTCATACATAGGATATAATTGTTATATTATTAATTTCCGACCATATTTGTATGAAAATCGTCGTTTGATTTTGTTGGAAATATATAGATATTATATTGTCTCCTAGACAATAACAACATATTAGTTGTTATTTCATTTATTTTTTATGTTTGTTTTTTAAGATCTTATGAATTTGAAGATTGTTTTTTCTTCAAATAGGCGATCATAGATATTTTTTAATAAAACTTTTATCAATATCATGAAATTCATTACATGACGTCACAAAGTATATCGGTTTTTATATATTCTAAAAATAACCGTACAATATGCTTTTTGCTATGCAATATGCTTTTTGCTATCCGCCGTTTTCTGTCTACCTTCGAAAATATAATTTAACATGTGACTATCCCTGAACGAATCAAATTAGTTAAAATATACGAATTAATAATATAAATCAGTATACACTGATTTGTTGTTATATATTATATTAAAATAACAGTTACATATATATATGATTTGCATCCATTTGTATATCATTCTATTCTACTATTCTAATAATAGTACAATGCAAGTGCATGGTGGACACTTTTCTGTAAAAATTCGATTTTTCTAAGATTGGATACGAGTAGGCATTCATATTTTCCCGCAAAAACAATTACAGAGTTACCGGTCCTTGCCGCAAAACGTTCTTTGAGATATTCTTCCGCATGCTTTAACACAATTTTTCGGTACGTGTGCATTGATATTATCAATGATTTTTACTTATATATTTATATATCTAACTACAAAACATTTTCATATTATTAATTTATGTTGTAAACAAAAATATTTTTATCAGTATTCATTGAAGAGATGTATTTATATCAAACGATAAGGAATGTTATTTTGCACTCGTTTATGTGCGCATATTTATCATGTTTATAGATTGGTTACAAACACAAAACTAATTTACATAATGGAAATCTAGGCGATAGCAATACATCGGAATAACCTCAAGGTCATCGCGATGTAAAAATTATTTACTACAGAAAATCAATTCTAAAAATTAATATTATAAAACATTGAAAAATACACCATATTTGTGTGTAGTTATAATACAATCTTAAATGTCATGTCAAAACTTTGAAAATCCTGTATGCTATTTTTAAAACTGATTGTCAGATCGTCATATTCGAAAATATTAAAATTTGATTGACGTGTGCATTTATATGTGTAATTGATATGTACACAGTATTGATCCAGATAGAGTTCTTTCGACATGGAATCATTCCTCCCTAAACAATTCCAGTCAAAGTTTTGTTTTATTCAAAATATTATATTACCGGTATTATCGACACAGTAAATTCTTGCGCTGACTATCAAAAAGAAATGCCAAGTTATTATGAAAGTCAAAGAGTACATATATACACTTTAAAACATGCTACCTGTATTTTCATATTTCATGTAATACATTCATTGAGGTATAAAAATAAGACATATTTTTCCATCTCATAACCTCCATATTGGGTAATAAGTTGTGCCTACTAGTAAATTTCAAACCCCCTATATTTTATCTTCTATTGTTATATTTCATTTTTAAGTTCTTCACAAATGTTACGTTTTTGCTAATTTTGAGCATATTGCTCTTTATCATTTTGTACTTTCGGCTATCAAATATTTGATGTCTAGTACCACTGACTAAAAAGCAAGCCGTCTCATAGCAGATGAAGTTTGAAATTGTTTTTCCATGCAGAATAGCATTGTATAGTGAAATTCAAAAAATGAACGGCAAATACTAATTTTGAGATTTTCCTATTTCTTTTTTGTGGGGAATCACAGGCATTTATTTGTCTCTGAATTTTTCCATATATACCTTTAATAATATAACATTAGGGTATACTAGTATCTGCCTTTTGTCATTCAGAACTAATTAAAACGAGAAGTGTTGAGATCTAGAAAAACTTAGCTTAAGCATTGACCTAATAAAGTTAATGTACTGGTCCCTGGTTACTATAGTATCGAGAAAGCAACTCCTTAACGTTTTTAGGCTATAGGAAAAGGAGGAAGTTGGACAAGGCCAAACATTACTAGTATATCGAGCTTAAAATTCAAATTTTGATTGATGGCTGTTATAACAATGAAACACTTTGAAAACAATAACTAGATTAGATATCATTCTTTGACGACACAGGGCATCAATTTCAATTTCCAAGCAAACAAAGAAAGCAGGCCGCGAATTCCATTCGTTTTTAGAACCGGAAACAGCGCTAGCGCACACGTCGACAAAAAGATCTTGCATTATTATGCTTATAGTACATGTTAAAATAAATAAAATATCTTGACTTAAATAGTTAGTTTTGTCGAATACAGCTCTTTATACCATTCAAGCCTAAATTTCGTTGAAATCCATAAGATTTGGAAAATTTCATCAAAGTCTTTTTTTGATGCCTTTTTCGGGTATACTTTCTAACGTAACTTTCGAAGCGTTCGACAACATTCTTTCTATTTTACTTTGTCGCATGATCGACTTGATCGATGTTGAGAGAAAAATAAGGCCTTTATCGTACCCTTCAAAGCTAAACATGCTGAATTAACATATTCTTTTGTGGGGGAGCGATTATATGTTGACATGTAGATGTCTTTCTGTTTTATTAGCATAGTGTTTGTATGTGTATACATGATTTTAAATTCCTCTAGAAAACATCCATTTTCAAATAATCCAATGCCAACAGTATTTTCGTCTTTTAGATGTATATTTATTCTATTTTTTATTTTTCGTATAGCATGTTTAGTATAAATAGTCAATAAATCTCAAAACAAGTATAAAACGTTTGTTTCTGTCTCTGTTCATTGTTCAGTTATATATTAATTAATTTTTTGCCATAATTTTTTAAAACATTTATTCTCAATTATACTATCTAGTTAGACTTGGGAGGGTTAAAAGCTAAAAAATATTGTAATGACATGATATGTCCATTGTCGAAGACTTTATAGCTTGTAAGAGGCATGTGCTGTGTGAACTTTAGAAGTAAGGAGTTTTGTATGTCGATTAATTGGGTTGCCTGTCTGAATTATCTATGTATACTTCACATCTCCTTTAAATCATATTTAGATATTAAAATATGTTAACATGTACAAATATTTTATTTTTATAGTCTAAGAGTCGTTTTTTCTTCTTATTATTATCCTCTCGTCTTATGTTCATCACATTCAACTCTCCTGCCACGGTAAGATAGCTAGGCATCGTCCAGCGCACACCCTCTCTAAATTATTCCCGTATTAAGCAATACATGTTAATCGAAATTAATTGATTTGGTTATATCCGTTTTTCAATTAAATTGTTACCTTCGAATTATCTTACTAAGTATCAATATGTATAACCGACGAACGAAAAAAAAGCATGCGCGGTGTTTCCCTAGGTTTTCATTTACGTTTCAACTATAACTAAACATTCATAAAAACGAGTGACTGGATAAAATATGGAATGCTCACATGTGCGTTTTATACCTTACAAAATTGCAGGAGTTTCGGGTACTTATAGAATAATGTCCCTGTGTACCGATATGCATGATTGATCACGATGCAACCTTAATAACTAAAATGAAGAGTTCAAACCCGACACTCTGCGGGATTGAAGGACATTTACTAGGTTTCAAATTGCCCCAACCAATCAACAGACTTTTACTATGAAAAGTCAGTAATATCTTCCAATCAGGTAGTAAGAAAACATTCAGTCCGAAGACTGTCCATCGTTCAACTTATAAGATCGCCTCCGAGGAGACGGTAATGAGAAATAAATTTTCGAAATGTTGTGCATCCTATTATAATCACAATAATTTCTTTTTCTTTTATTTTTGTGTTACGTTGCATTGTCATTTGCATCCATATTATCGCCCTTAATTCGAATGTTGACTCCAATAACTGTTTTTTTAGCCCAGATTATCAGGAAATAACATTGATATCACACTTTTGATTGAAATATTATTCAATTTTACGTTTTGACTAGAACATAACTTACAACACCTCATAAACAAATATGTTGAAAATAGCTTTTGATATGAAATCCTTTCGTATATCCTAAAATTGACAAAATTCTTCTTTGATACTAAGATTTTTATGAGCAATATAAAAATAAAGGAGATGAGGTATGATTGCCAATGAGACAACAATCAACCAAAGTTCAAATAAAGTGGATGTAAGCAATTATAGGCAACCGTACGGCCTTCAGCAATGAGAAAATTTATAACAAAACAATTAACGAAAACACAAATATGACAGACATGAACCAACGAAAACCACTGAACTACAGGCTCCTGACTTGGGACAGGCACATAAAGAATGTGGCGGGGTTAAACATGTTTGTGAGCGCTAAACCATACTTTGGATGCTTAGTACTGATATTCTATTTATAACTACTAATCTCGTGCATACTAGCTCCTATGGTCTCAAGGACATATTTTAATCTCATTTTAATGTCTTTGTTTTTGTTTTATTTCAGTATGCTGATTCAGAATCTGATGTGTTCCGTTACATTTTAATGTTTTTGTTTTTGTTTTATTTCAGTATGCTGATTCCGAATCTGATGTGTTCCGTTACATTTTAATGTCGTTGTTTTTGTTTTATTTCAGTATGCTGATTCTGAATCTGATGCGTTCCGTTACATTTTAATGTCATTGTTTTTGTTTTATTTCAGTATGCTGATTCTGAATCTGATGTGTTCCGTTACATTTTAATGTCTTTGTTTTTGTTTTATTTCAGTATGCTGATTCTGAATCTGATGTGTTCCGTTACATTTTAATGTCTTTGTTTTTGTTTTATTTCAGTATGCTGATTCCGAATCTGATGTGTTCCGTTACATTTTAATGTCGTTGTTTTTGTTTTATTTCAGTATGCTGATTCCGAATCTGATGTGTTCCGTTACATTTTAGAGAGAAGAATAGGGGTTCATTTAGATAAGTTTCCTAACACAAAACTTGCCAAGTAAGTCGATCTTAACATAATAAATATTTAATGTAATCTGTGCAACACTTTCTCAAGATTTATTGTATAAACAAATTTAAGAGCTAGCTTCCACTGAAATTTACATAAGGATCAAGTTAAAGTTGGTCGGGTTGATGTCTCTTTGACACATTCCCCGTTTCCATTCTCAATTCTAACTCAGTCTCCTCTATTCTATTCATTAAGAAGCAGGAGTCATTTGATTAAGAAAACTCTTTGTGGACATTAAAAAAAAAAGAAAAAAATTACAAAAGAATTTTCACGTCAGAGTTAAAAACCTTTCGAAATGATTTTAGCAAGTTTGACAATATAATCAGTTACAAATCATATATTTATCAATCAATTGACAAAGCAATAACAAGCCTAATCAGATTTATTCCATTTGTTGTTATAACCTTAGGGTCAAAGTTTAGTAATCTTTATAAACCTATAATCAAATGTTATTTAAACTGGAGATATTTGTAAACTGTACTTGTCTGAAATCTGCATGGTTGTTATAATCTGACGGAATTCAATTGAAATTCAATTACGTATATGATATTAAACGAAAATAACTGATCTAACTTACTGGATTTGTTAATGTTAATTTAAAAAAAAACATTTTTTTTTATGTAACTCGTCTTCTGATTGGTTGAAATATTTTGTCTATCAGCTCATAGACATTATTTTGTCATGTGACCCTGACGTCATCAACGTTTTTTTTCATGATTTACTCCTTAAAAATGGAATTTAGAATTAAAGTAAAGGAATGACTGTTATATTTTTTTCTCTCTATTCGAAATAACATACAAAATGTTATTTCTTCATAGACAGAAAAAAATATTATAGTCATTCCTTAAATAACTCATGAAATACATTCTGGATTTTGTGTTTGGGACAATGCCGGTCAGAAATGGAAGCAGCGATTTCAACATTCAGTTGGGATTTCTAGTAAACTTATTGAAGATCACAATCGTTCTAAATATAATGTGCGTGTCACTAAACGTTAAACATACGACAATAAATCGATTTCAAGACAGAATTGTTTTGTACTTTTCAGCTCAGTGGTTTGAACATGCCGTACAGGAATGTAACAATTTTATTATTACTGTTCAGTCTCACTTAATCAATTTTTCCCAGAGGTTTTCTTTTGTGTTAGCAAATTATAAGATCCTCCGGGAATAAATGACAAGTGTCATTAAAATGACATCACCTGACTTCAGTTTTATCTTGTTCTTTAGAGCACACTTGACAAAGATATATGAAATGTTTCTCTTTTCTTAACTATTAACTTATCAAACCTGCTATCGGATGAAAAACCTGTCGTGACTGCCTTAGGCGATTCATATTTCTAATTGCTTGTAATGATGATTGAAGGCATTAACACCACACTAGGTCCTAGTTTTCGGATACAACTGTGACTGTCAGGAGAAATGCCGATAGATAGATTTTTTTATTCTTCTTTTCTGAAACTATAACGCCAAATCTGTTCAAATTTCATATGAGTGAGGATCAGAGATGTCCAAATTTCTCAATTTAAGCTGATAAGGTTTTCATAAATAACGGAAAAGATGAGACGAAGGTTCCAATAAAACATTTCTAGAACTCATAGGATCTTTTGATAATACGAGAGAAACTTTGTAAGATTAATGTTCGTACGACTTATCATATCACACAATTATAGTTTATCTGAACTTTACGAGACGATATATTTTGTAACGTTATTGGATCCCCTACTTTTTTAAGTGATCAGCAACACAAGCGGTGGACCATGCAGAGTTAGTCGTTACCGCGAGGTAGTTGAACATTTGCTGTATTAAAATGTTAATATAAATGCGTGATACCTATTTCTGTGGGTATAGCACGTGTTACAGAAATACCATCAGGTACGCTAGAGACAAAACGTTTGGAAGCAAAATACATAAACAATATAAGACCATCAGGAAACAGAACTTCCAAAATCGCTGAGGTCAACTTTGCTTGCCTGATGTAGTATGTACAAATACATGGTCATAAATCGAAATATACAATGAAAATGTATATTTATATCTTAAAATCGGTACTGACAGTTCACAATCTGTGGCACCAATAAACCGATTTCTGGTCTCTGACACGTTGTTATGGCAATACCTTCATCAGGTCAAACCATGATACAATGGAGGCCAAATATAAAGTACTAGCAAAAAAATATCGAAGATACCAGTCCTTATCATTTTGTACGCCAGACGTGCGTTTCATCTACAAAAGACTCGCCAGTAACACTCGAATCGAAAAAGTTAAAAGGTCAAATCAAGTACGAAGTTGAAGAGCAATGAGGACCCAAATTCTGAAAGGTTTTGTCAAATGTTTTTGTCAGGTTTTTACCTGGGTAGACAATCCTCATTAGTATTTAGAACAATTCAAAGTTTCGTAAAACTTCAATTTATAAATATGACCATAGCAATGCTATTTCTTGTCAATAGAGAAATTCTGACTACTGGGCTGGTGATACACCCGAGGAAACCTCCAGTAACAGTGGCATCGACTAAAAGGTTGTAAAAATATTGTCAAAGATACCAGTTTAATAATTTTGCACGCCCGACGCAATATATTCTCTTTTCGCTGTGAATATAAACTACGTATCAAACGATATAAACGCAAACGTTCAGAAGAAGCTGATACAGTCAAATCCAATTTCCAATTGAAAACTTTGAAACGAAACAAAAACGTGAATATTATCTAAATCACACTTAGTTGAATTGCAACATTAGTTAATTGTATGTTATACATTTTTCGCGTTCATTGCCTTGTACAATGCATTTCAGTGAACAGTGAACAAATAAAAATGCGTATGGTAAATTTTGCGGTTGAATGTCTACCTTGAAAAAAGCAAAAATTGACACAAGCGAAAATTTGTCGATATACGGTATTATATCAGTTTTAGAGTACATACCAACATGACAGTCATATCACATCGCTTTATATTTATATAGTTTATTCATTTTGATTTCAGAAAGAAATTAGAAAAGAAAAATGTCCAAGAAAAGGCGAAGCGTGAACATCGCAGAGTTACAATGGCTGTTGATGCGTTCTTAAAGGTACACTTATTATATAAGATTAAATTTTTTGTATACTTTTCCTTAATTGTCTTATTGCAATGCAAATTTATTTTTACTCTGTGATTAGGTTACGGAATTAGAACCTACGTTAAATTTCTACAAAATTATAATCCTCAAATGTTTTCTACATCGACTTTCTTTCTGTTTAGATATTTTCTTTGTCTAGAATATTCTAAACATATTTCATAAATAGTGTGAACAACTTTTGATCTTATCTCCACATCGAATACCTACTTTTCAGCTATTTCTAAAAAGGCTTAAGCTTGCATTACATGTTTAAGAATATTAATACACAGTTATCAAAGTAATCAACAATATTGGAAACAGTTACAAAAACGACAAATAGATACAATGTACATGTCTTATACCTTACATCCATATGTTTTGGCAATATTTACTTAAAATTATTTGTTATGTGTTTTTCGTTCATTGGAAAAGCTAGATAAAAAGTTCCATAATTTCAGATATGGGGCTCGTTTAATTATTCACACTCCAATTAAAAGTTATCTTAAACTTTTTAAATTATTTGTTTTTGTTTCAAGGTCTTGAAGAAACACAATTTGGACAAAGACGACAAAATTGACAGAACAGAATTAACGAATGCTTTCCTAGATGTAAGTATTTAAATACATAATGAAGAAACGTATCAATTAAACCCCCCCCCCCAAAAAAAAACCCAACAATACAGTATGCATACGATACTTTCAGTCGACCTGACAGTTTATTTTAGTTAATGGATGCTTCGTGAATAAGCTCCCAGATCTTGTCTTGTTATAAACGATTAGAAATATAAGGCACCAATCATAATTCCAGACTGTAATGCATTCATACTTGTCGAGAAGATAAACCAATTTCTATTTAGAATCAACATTTTCACTTCACACCTATTCATAATATTTTTCCAGACTGTTGTGGTCCTCAAAATAAAGTTCACTTTTAGGGAAAAAGTGATTTTACTGTTTTGGAAGTTGTTTGCAATCTAAAAAAAATACAACCCAACCATTATTAGAAGACAAGAAACGGGACTTAAAAAAATGTTGTTTATTTCGGGGCCGTTTATAGCTTGCTATGCGGTATGACTTTTGCTCATTGTTGAAGGCCGTACGACGACCTATAGTTGCTAACTTTTACGTCATTTGATCTCTAGTGGAGAGTTGTCTCATTGACAATCATAGTTTATGTGAAATCAGAAATCAATTGTCATATATCATAGGTACGGATTATACAAAAAAAAAAAAAAAAAACTATGCTAATAATAACGGTTAAATGCTACCCTATGATTTTTTCTTCAATGTTTTGAATCGATGTTTTACTCATTTGAAAGAATGAGTTTCGAAAATGTAGATTTAATTCTCATATTCTTAAATCATTAACTACAGATTGATAAGGTAATATAGATCATTGCATTCAGACGCAAGCTTTAATTGCTTATAATTTATTCAACATTTTAATTTATTGACCGATTTTTGATGGAATTTTGCAGATCAGAATGTTATTTTTTTAGACTATGCCATTTAAGCTTAGTTAGTATATATACATATATAATATATATTCGTTTTACCATTTTCTGAGTTGGACTGAGAAAAAAAAATTCAAATAAAAATATTATAATATTTCTCTTTATCCCCTGTTGCACAGCAATTGGACATTGTCCTTTTGCTTCATATACATGATGTATTCCATCTATTTTAAACTTGATGAAATAACTCTGTTGTAATGTTAAAATGGACAGCGTACTTATATCAATCATCGTGTAAATTCATGAATAATTCTAGATGCTTAACCGAATGTCAATTAAAACTAAAAATTAAAGAATACACTTCCGTCTGGAAAGGTTCATCTGACATTTTTTGGTGCATTGGTAATCTTGAAGTTTTCGTAGTTAGCTCTTTTTCTGAAATGCCATAAGCAAAAGGTCAACTATCTGGTGAAATGAATGCTTAAATGGTGTATATGTCTGTCTGGCAGGGTTTCTCTGACATTAACTTCATTTTCATGGTGTATTTGTCAATGTTACGTGCTTGTGGTTAGGTCGGTATCTGCTAATCTAAGCTATATATTAACTATCTTTAATGAATTGGTATTATTTGAAGGTGTTTATGTTCGTCTAGGAGGCCTCATCTGACCTTGACCTTTAATTCATGGTTCATGGGTCAACGTCCAGTTTTTTGGCAAGACCCTTTTCTCAGATAATGTAAGCAGTAGGTCAACTTCAATAAGGTTGATGTCAAGATTGTCCGTCTAGCATGGTTCATCGAACTTTTACCTTATTTTCAATGATACCTGTAGTAAAGACTTTCAACATGAAATTCAATCATGATCAGTAAAGCAGGCGAGACATTTCAGTGTGTGTACATTTATTTGATATCTGTTGCAATCAGTTGTGTAAACTGTTATTGAAATTGTACATTTTCGGTTATTGTACAAAGTGTGCATTTTTTACTTTAATTTTGAAAATAATTCACTCTTGATTGGTAGGTCAAATGCTTGGTCTGTTGGTAGGGAACAGGCCTTTTATATATAAAACGTTTACTGTTGCTATATTAAGAGTGCTGACAATACTTAACAAATATAGTCAATCTTTTCATAAATTGTCAAGCGGTTGTAGCTTTTAAAAACGCAACACAGCTAGAGACTCTAATGGGTGCTGTATCACTCACCTAGCTTATTAATTAAACTAAATGTATGTTAGATTTTAAACGGAGCACCTAGATTTGACAGTTGAATTGTGATAAAGAGATTATATAAAAAAAACCTTGATATCCCATTCAGAAAAAAAACAACATTTACCTAGGTTTCTCATTGTTGACATATATGTTAGGCTGGGTTTTGGGTTTTAAGCAAATACAATCGCTTGAAAACAAATATGAAGCAAATTAAGCAGACATATTTTTAATCCCATGGCTGTATTGAGATATTATTCTGATCAGTGAGCATAAAACTTACATATTAATTATATGAAACTTCTCACTATACAATTTTATAAAAAAAATATAAGCTTATCATCTGCAAGGGTGGGCGAACATCTGAAGAGAATACCGTTATTGTTATTTTTAATAACTTTTTACGACCGTCACGTCACTTTTGCGTTATATATAACTGACTATAATTTGACTACTTCATTGACGGTTCTCATCACTCCAACACGTCATTTAAAGTGAAATAGTACTGCTGAATGTAATGATCTATGTAAATAAAGGCAACAGTAGTATACCGCTGTTCAATAGTCATAATTCGATTAAGCAAAAACAAATCCGGGTAACAAACTTATACCGTGGGAAACACATCAACTATAAGAGGAAAATAACGGAACAACAGAAACACTAAACTACAACAAAAGCAAACGCCAACATACATGGAAAACAACTCGATCTTCCTGTTTTAATTTATATACCCGGTTCTAGTGTTCTTCCATGGACGTTTTTTCTATATTTTTTTCCTTTTGTATAATAGTTGTACACGTTTTTGTCGAAATTCTAATTAAATTCTTATTCCCATTACTTTATACATTGTCCAGATTCTTTTTACAGCATGAATCATATATTTCATTAGCTTCGCTTTGAAAATAAATAACAAACATGCATCATGTTTTGTTTTCATAATTTGTACACTTATAATTTATTTTATTGCACACTATTAGTTAAGTTCTATGCCAAGCAAAACCTTTCACATTTGTTAAAGTATGATATTTATTGTCGGTTGTGTGCAAGTCCATAATGACATCACTTTGAAAATGTGCAGATACATTGATACTGAAAATTAATCGATAATTTACAAACGTATGATTAGTTGCAAAAAAAAAACCCAATAAGAGGCCACCTTACCACCAGGCTGATATTTAATGGCACAGTTCACTTACTTCTTTACATGTTTGGTCATTTCTTGTTATTTATCTACGAAGGTGAAACCAGGTGGCATCACAGAGGTAGGTAGAATGCAAGTGGAGATAACTTTTCTCCTCCAAGTGAGAATAGCGTTATATTCTCAACTTCATTGCTTAATATCCTGGAAGACTAAATTTGGAATAATGAGCAACGAAGTCATAGTAATTCCTCGATTAGAGAAATACCAAGTTCATGCATGAATTACTTTTAATTGAATTAATGTCTTATAGTATGTTTTGTGATTATTAAAATGGGTGAAAGCTCCTTCGTTTGTGTCAAAGAAATCTTTTCCACTTACTATGAATAAGATTAACAAATAATCAAACTGAAAGCAGGAAATATGGTAAAGCCATTTTAAAGTTTAATAGACAAAAGGGACTTTTACATGAGAAGATTTTTTTTTTATTTTCGTCTCTCTTGATTTTGAACAAATAACAAATTTAGCAAAAAAATGCATAAAAAAATCAATGTTCCAAGAGTCTCTGTCAGAGTAGCGCATTATTATGTCAAGCAAAGCACTGTGTCAATATTCATATTAAGTGGAATAGAAATGCATGCATATTAATATATCCCAAAGTAATTTCTGTCTATTTCTGGTTGCGACACTAACTTTTTCCATAATTCTTCCTATGTTTGTGAGATAATGTAAACATTTGCGAGATAAAGTTTGCGTTATCCCTCAAAGGTTTGCGGTATCTCGCAAAGGTTTGTGTTATAACTCAAAATTTGAATTATCTCACAAAAGTGTGCAATATAACGCAAACATAGGAAGAAATGTTAAAAAAAAGTTTGTGTGTAATACGCCTCCATAGGAACTGGTACTTTCATGCATTTAGTTTTTTATTATTATTTTTTTTAATTAAGGAGATTTTCGTTGTTAGGGGATAGGATATCTATTTGGCTGATTTTACCTTGTATAATCCACAGATCCAAAATATGATATTTGTTTGTCTCTATTGGTTGTTCCTCTATTTTCTCAGATAAGATTGTTTGTCTCTATTGGTTGTTCCTCTATTGTCTCAGATAAGATTGTTTGTCTCTATTGGTTGTTCCTTTATTTTCCCAGATAAGGTTGTTTGTCTCTATTGGTTGTTCCTCTATTTTCTCAGATAAGGTTGTTTGTCTCTATTGGTTGCTCCTCTATTTTTTCAGATAAGGATGTTTGTCTCTATTGGTTGCTCCTCTATTGTCTCAGATAAGGTTGTTTGTCTCTATTGGTTGTTCCTCTATTGTTTTTTCTCAGATAAGGTTGTTTGTCTCTATTGGTTGCTCCTCTATTGTCTGTGATAAGGTTGTTTGTCTCTATTGGTTGCTCCTCTATTGTCTGTGATAAGGTTGTTTGTCTCTATTGGTTGTTCCTCTATTTTCTCAGATAAAGTTGTTTGTCTCTATTGGTTGTTCCTCTATTTTCTCAGATAAGGTTGTTTGTCTCTATTGGTTGCTCCTCTATTGTCTCAGATAAGGATGTTTGTCTCTATTGGTTGCTCCTCTATTGTCTCAGATAAGGTTGTTTGTCTCTATTGGTTGTTCCTCTATTTTCTCAGATAAGGTTGTTTGTCTCTATTGGTTGTTCCTCTATTTTCTCAGATAAGGTTGTTTGTCTCTATTGGTTGCTCCTCTATTTTCTCAGATAAGGATATTTGTCTCTATTGGTTGATCCTCTATTGTCTCAGATAAGGTTGTTTGTCTCTATTGGTTGTTCCTCTATTGTCTTTTCTCATATAAGGTTGTTTGTCTCTATTGGTTGCTCCTCTATTGTCTGTGATAAGATTGTTTGTCTCTATTGGTTGCTACTCTATTGTCTATGATAAGGTTGTTTGTCTCTATTGGTTGTTCCTCTATTATCTCAGATAAAGTTGTTTGTCTCTATTGGTTGTTCCTCTATTTTCTCAGATAAGGTTGTTTGTCTCTATTGGTTGTGCCTCTATTTTCTCAGATAAGGTTGTTTGTCTCTATTGGTTGTTCCTCTGTTTTCTCAGATGAAGTTGTTTGTTTCTATTGGTTGTTCCCCTATTTTCTCAGATAAGGTTGTTTGTATCTATTGTTTGCTCCTCTGTTGTCTAAGATAAGGTTGTTTGTCTCTATTGGTTGTTCCTCTATTTTCTCAGACAATGTTGTTTGTCTCTATTGGTTGTTCCTCTATTGTCTCAGATAAGGTTGTTTGTCTCTATTGGTGGTTCCTCTATTGTCTCAGATAAGGTTGTTTGTCTCTATTGGTTGCTCCCCTATTGTCTCAGATAAGGTTGTTTGTCTCTATTGGTTGTTCCTCTATTGTCTCAGATAAAGTTGTTTGTCTCTATTGGTTGTTCCTCTGTTGTCTTTTCTCAGATAAGATTGTTTGTCTCTATTGGTTGCTCCTCTATTGTCTGTGATTAGGTTGTTTGTCTCTATTGGTTATTCCTCTATTTTCTCAGATAAAGTTGTTTGTCTCTATTGGTTGTTCCTCTATTTTCTCAGATAAGATTGTTTGTCTCTATTGGTTGTTCCTCTATTGTCTCAGATAAAGTTGTTTGTCTCTATTGGTTGTTCCTCTATTGTCTCAGATAAGGTTGTTTGTCTCTATTGGTTGTTCCTCTTTTGTCTCAGATAAAGTTGTTTGTTTCTATTGTTTGTTCCTCTATTTTCTCAGATGAGGTTGTTTGTCTCTATTGGTTGTTCCTCTATTTTCTCAGATGAGTCGGTTTGGTGGTAATTGGTGTGATCTGTTGTCCCGTCCACTTTTTTAAAGTTATTCCTGTTAACCTTTTTATGTATTATTAATATTACTGATATCATTTTACAGTAAGAAGGGTTTATTTCAGATTAAGACGACATAAGTTTACGTATGTTCAGACCGGGTGCGTCGACAGTGTAAGCGTTTTCTGCTAAGTATGCAGAACGACACTCATATATTTATAAGTCGAAACTGCATTCAATAGTAGTTAAATCAAAATGGTAAAATATATAAATTATAACATGTAATTTTATGCTCAAGATAAGACTTATGTTCTTCGGATGTTTTAAAGGGGCATTAGCTACGAGATATGAAAAAAATTAGAATATGATTTTGTTTGATTCAATCATTAATTAAAGTGAAATAATGAAATAATTATTCGCTTTTAGTAGCCAATTTGGTTCAATTTTGTCAAAAATTCAAAGAAACATCGCTGATGAATTATTCACTTGCAAGTGAATAATTCGACCTCATTGAATCCGTATTCATGTGACCTTCAATTTAACCAATTCGCTAGAGATTGGTTACTATAAATAAGAAGATGTGGTATGAGTGCCAATGAGACAAATCTCCATCCAAGTCACAATGTATAAAAAGTAAACAATTTTAGGTTAACGTACGGCCTTCGCATGTATTAGTCGTGTTCAGCCATTAAAGGGAAAAGAATGTCAACATTGAAAGTGAAACAAAGGTGCATTTCGTTGACTGATTCGATCCACAAAAAAATCATTCTTATACAGGTAAAAACGACAATTAACTTATTTTTTTAACGTATAAAATGAAATCAAACAGACCTAAAATCCAATTGCATGAGGTCGCTATCTTTTTTTATTTATGTTTATGTTTATATCGGGTTATGTGACCGTCGGCAGTCTTCGGAGGTCATCTCGATAGTTAATTAGATGGCGTCTAGACTAAAATACACACGAAATTCTGATGTGTATTATCGAGTACATGCATTGTTAACTGTTTATTTCAGACTTATTGTAATTTGGATATACTTTTCAGTATGTTATAAATCAAATATGAGAATTTGAGTCAAATCGGTGAACATGAATTTGACAGCTAATGCCCCTTTAATAATGGAAGTATCACTTATTGTCTTTTTGGTTTTTTTTGTTTCTGTAGATATTCTTAATACCATAAAACTTTTTTAAAAAGCGTGTTGTTAATTAGAGCAGATGAATAGAGAGGAAAACAATGGTGTTTTATTAAAGATTAAAATCTACAAAGGTTTATGCACCAGATGCACATTTCAATTTCAACGGATAATCTTTATATGAAATGAACGTTAGAGAACCGAACCAAACGGAAATGAATGATAAAGTAGAGGCAAATCCTGTTGAGAAATTACTGACGGATGTGCGATCCTTTATCGACAAATTGAATATCTTAATTCTGTCACTTAAATGACATACAATTATATCTGCATGTTAATGCAAGAACGAATGTTTAAAACTACTGAGCAGTACTTAATATCAGAAACTAACAGTCCACAAGGAATGCTAACGACCCAGTGACAATGATTGTTAAATGGCACGAATTCATCGCACTAGACGCGAATTTAGCTAGTGATGTTCGAGGCCACTTTTTTTGTGAATCCGAAACCATCATAATTGAAGATATTAACCAAATCATGAAATGCAGCTAACAAAAATGGGAAAACTGCATTAACACAAATTTTAATGTTTATGGTGATACTTGAGACTGATAAATTTTCGAAATTCTATATCGCTATTACAAATTTAAATGTCGACTCAGATGTCATCTTTCGAAATACACCACTGTTACGGATAAAAATCCATTATAAAGTATGAATGTAATGATTAATAGCTTTTATTCACAAACCTCACCCATATAAGCATACATTATATCTATGAGCTTTTAATTTCTGTAAAAAAGCATTACCTTGAATTACTTGCTTTCTTTCAGTGACACAAGTTTTAAACTGTTGGAGTTCTAACAGAATAATAAAACGCACAACAATTTTCTGTTTATTTTATCGGCAGTTAATTATTTTTATGCATGAAATTAGATATTTATTCGTTTAGTGGATTTGTGTGTGCGTTCAAGTTCATGTGCAAGGCATTTGATTATTTAGACAGTTGGTTCTTGATTTGCATTTGTTAAGTATTAAGATAATTATTAACGATCGGTTCTGAAGAGGGATCATTATTTTTCTACCCCAGGTAACTTGATATAAGGTTGAAAACTGAAGGCTGTGTTTTTTCAAATATTATAAAACATCTGAATATTATTCAAATAATTTACATCACCACAAAATCTGCTGAAAATTTATTTGAGTTTGAAGTTAGTTTTACTTATGCTATGACAAACAAAGTCAAAAATCAAATAAATTCATACTACAGAATTTTACTGCAACTGATATTTATCATTGAAAGTAAATGTATCATAACTAGTGAGCTACACAAAGGCAAATATGCAAAGAAATGTTCAAACAAACCATTAACCCAAAATCTGAAAGTTTGCATGTCTTTAAGTATATTTTGTAAATATATTTGTCCACCTAATTATTTTCTTTCTCCCTTTCAACATTTGTAATGGTCTTTGTGAGGAGCAGTAGTTTTCTGATGTTTAAAAACCTTAAATTGAAAAAAAAAAGAAAACAAAAAGGCTAAAAGAAAACGCACGGAAAGGCTGCATATAATCTATTTTAGACGTGTTAAGATATACAATTTTCATAGTTTGTTACATGTAGTTGTAAAGTTGTAATTTATAAATATAAATGAGCAAATCAAGTTATTCGCCTGAATAACATACACTGTGGTGAACACACACACAATAAGCATGGCCATCCTTGCAGTTCAAAACCCCCTGCAAAGTAATTCACAGCATACAACCTATGATGAAAATTTGAAGCATCGCTTTTGCTGCTAGTTTTATCAGGAGATCTGCAGTACCCGGTCTTCGATTTATTGTGTGTTTTGAACATTTGGTCATGTTGTTTTATAACCTGTTTACAGTTTGTGATTAGCCCTTGTTAAACTTGACTTTTCGAACTATTGACTCAATTGATCCAATATTTGTGTATCTAATATAAACTTAATTTATATACATGTATCATTGTTTAATCATATAGATTTAGTTTTTTACGCCAAAGTAGAATACTTATGATGCATTAGCAGACAATTAAGTCATTCAGCGAAAAATACCGTGGGTTGCTTTTCACTTAGAATAAGATAAATCGTTGAAAATTTTATGAACTGATGGTTTTTTTTTAGGGGAGTTATTTTAGTTTAAAAGAAAAAAAACTTATTTTCTGGTATGATGCCTTTGAGAATAAGTATTTAGCAATGTTGATATGAATAAAAAAAAAAACATATGTGGGGTATACCCAAATGAGACAGCAACAAGATAACTCATAAAACCTAAGTAGTTTATCAGGCCAACATATGGTCTTCCGCAATGTATAAGTGTCTATACAATAAGTCCAGATCCAGCTCGCCCAGAGTCTAGAAACGTTATCTGATAAGCATTTGTGATAAAATCTCCGTATTGGTTTTGAGATAACAAGACTTGGTAAAAAGGGATATCCATTAACATATGCATACAGTTAGATGTGAGTTTATCCAATCGTTGTTCTTATTTTTTCTGCAATCCAGACATATGTTAGACTGAGTTTTATTTAGTTTTAATGTATATAGATTGATGTATTTTGTAGTTTTCTGCTATGAATCATAACAGGATTAAGAATATATATTACTGTCTCCCGCATTATTTTAAGAACAAGTGAATGATGGTTAAATGACTTATCAGTCTCAATTTTGAATTCTTATTCATTTTTACCGGATTCTAAATGTTAAACTGTTCAACCTTGTAAATTTATATTAGAGGAATGAGTCAGAAAAAAGTAATGAAATTCAACTCATACAAGCTATAACATATTTTTATACAACATTGTTACTTTGCATTCAAAAACGATTTCACAAATAGTATGGTGAAAATTAACGGTATATTAGTATGGAAGTTTTAACACAATTTCTTGTGTCTTTCAATTTAAGGATGAATTTACAACAGAACATGCCAACTTGCTGTTTGGTGAAAACTGCAATGCCGCAACAGCTTTTGAGGCATTAGACAAAGATGGAAATGGTGAAGTAAGTAGTTTATAATTTATTGACAATGAACAGTCGTAGACCTACACTTTTATTGGAAATCAGCTGCATAATTATTTCTAATTTGTAGAAATAAATATGTTATCATTCATACTGTGAGTATTTGATATTGAGTTCTACAAAGGCATAACTTAAGCACATTTCTTAAAACTTTTTCATGTAATCATATTTTGCATCACTTTTTACATCGCGATGACCGTGAGAGCATTCCGATGTATTGCTATCGCCTAGATTTCCATTACGTAACTTTCGTTTTGGGTTTGTAACCGATCTATAAACATGATAAATACGCGGATATTAACGAGTGCAAACTAACATTCCTTACCGTTTGTTATAAATACATCTCTTCAATGAATACTGATAAAAATATTTTTGTTTAGAACATAAATTAATAATATGAAAATGTTTATATATATATAAGTAAACAATCATTGATAATATCTATGCACACGTACAGAAAAATTGTGTTAAAGCATGCGGAAGAATATTTGAAGAACGTTTTGCGACAATCCCGGCAAGGACCGGTAACTCTGTAATTGTTTTTGCGGGAAAATATGAATGCCTACTCATATCCAATCTTTTAGAAAAATCGAATTTTTACAGAAGAGTGTCCACCATGCACTTGCACTGCACTATTATTAGAATAGTAGAATAGAATGATATACAAATAGATAGCACGAACTTGTCTCAGAAAAATATATATCCTTGCACATTAACCCCAGTTTCAGGTACAGAGATGTGTTTTTTTTCTGTGACAAGTGCTTTTGACCATCCACAAGAACTTGCGGTCATCCGATGTTCAGTACTTCAGTACTTTGATTACTGATTTACAAGGTTGTCTTACTAAAGATACTTATCTTTTAAGAATCGTAATTGTTATAAATTTAACTCATCAAAAATTCTGTAACAATTTTTATTAAGTAGAGAACTTTTCAAGGTTTTATGTACCAATGTAATATGACAACATAACATAGTTCACTTTATTTCACAGATTCAGTACCATGAGTTAGTGAACTTTATTCAAAGCACTGGTATATGTCTGCAACAAAGATTTCTTGGATATCAGAGGAAGGATATTACTGGACTATTTTCATTTTTTGACACTCTACAAAATGCACTACTTACCAATGTGAAAAGGGTATTTGTAGAGGTAAGTTACAAATGTATTTCAATACAAACTTGCATCACTCTTGTATTGATTTATAGCCAAATATGCAGGAACGATATTACACCGCTTACTATGAAATGACAAAATGAAAATTCTAAATATCTTCTAAAATCGATAATTGAATATCAAATTCCAAAATTTGGTGCAAATACAAATATAACTTTTTTCTTTGTATTCGCTTTGAAGGTTGCCAATATTATATGACAACATGTCTTTTCTTTTGACTTAACTCCTAGCTTAAGTTTTTTTTAAGATCTGAACAAAAGTTTTCAACCTATGATAACGTTTAGTTGTGATATGCAAGATTTTCTAGTGAAAATGGTGTTTTGATGAGGCCATAAAAACTATGCGTCTTCCTGTCTTCTTCCAGAAACCAATGGTGGGTTACCTTGATACATAACTTTAGTTTTGAAAAATACCTAAAATAGACTATATAGGTAAAATGTCTGATTTTTAACTGCACTGAACCAAAGGTGTCTGGACCTTAACGGTTCTAAACCAGAAATATCTATAAAATGTTTTAGGGTAGACACTTAGAGTAGGTAGGGATGCAGAAAAAATTTTAGCTGTGCTTAACCTAGAATAGAGAATTTACGGTAGGTAAGGAGACCGGAAACAGAACTATATTTTAATGTTGGCTTGATTGTAAACTGTTAATTTGTTAGAAACTATGATGTCTTTGGTTTGGTGGGAGTAAAAGTTCCTAATGCTCAACAGTTCAAAAGTCTGCAAAATGGAGCATATATTTTTTTAAGTTTCCTAATTCTTTGAATCCAAACCCATTTTCTGTCCCTCTATTTGTCTTTTATTTTTCACCTGGCCAAAGCAGGTAAATATCTACAAAAATATTTACATCATTGAAACTATTAATTGACCACTAACATGAGTTATTGCCCTTAAGTAACAATTTTGACGAATTTTGAGTTTTTGCCTTTTATTTTGAAAACTATTATAAATAGAATGAAACTGTAACAACAATAATAATCAACAATTCTAGATCTACAAACAAACCAAGATTCTACTTTTAGAAGAAATTACCCATAATTGACGATTATGACGCATTCAGTCTTTTTTCTTCTATATGGAAAACTATTATAGATATACAGAAACTTTTAACAGTAAAATATGACTGAAACTATTTATTGACTTCTTATAAGAGCTATTGACTTCAAAAATGAATTTTGACACATTTAACAATGAAGGATAGTCGTCTACTATCCTATAGAAACGGTTAACAGCGGTTGGGGAACTTGCTAAATTTGGTTAATCATTTTTTTACCTGAATAAACATACATATCGATATAGCAAATTTATTTTATTCTGTCTCCTTGGATAAAAAAGTGTTACAAAAATACTGATTCCAAGGCAAATTCAAAAAGGGGAAGTCCATAAAAACTGACATAATAAAACGCTATCAATCTCTAGTTTTTCACAATTCCAATTTCTAGTTGTTATTCCTACAGGAGTTAGATTTCTTGTATAAGGTATGTAAATAGACAAAGGGAAAAAAGTATTAACAGAAATACCGGCCCCTAGGTAAATTCAAAAAGGGTAAAGTCCATAAAACCTGACAAAATCAAACGTTAGACTATATCAACCAATGATACAAATGAAATACAACTGTCAAAAAAGTGTCATCTGGAAGAGATAACTTATCATAATGGTCTTATGATGAATATTTTATAGGAAAGAGACTTCGACAGAACGGTTGGAATCAATACTGGTCATGTTGGAACATCAGATTTTGTCTTGGAACCAGAAGATAGAGCTTATGTTGTTGAGGTAGGACATTCATTGTCTTTGTTCTCACATTTAAACAATTGATGGCAGAAAGATTAAGAAGTAATGACTACATTTAATGAACAGAATAAGAAAAAGGAACTAAACCAAATGAATATGATACATACAAAAAGTTTTTTTTTAATTTTCTAAACTTTAAATATAACATGCTCAACTGTTTAAAAAAACTGAACGGTTGCTGATTTGTCGTTGTTTTAGAAATACTTAAGTAATTTACATTTTACCCTTGACTGGCGTACGCTAATTTTTGCAAGTAAGTCTAAGTAATATCTTTTTGAAAAATGTTAAGCAGGGTTTGTGAAACAAATAACAAACATTAATATATTGTATTATAGGATATGATTTATATAATTGCAGCAAGGAAGAAGGTCAATGGAAAGTTTTTTGAAGTATTATGCAGCATTAAATAAACTTAAAAAGCAGACGGAGAGTATTTCAGAAGATCCCGGATCAGAAATTGAAGAAACGGATACTCCGGATGATGAGAAAAGACCTTGTACGTATCCTGTTTGTTCTTGTGTAACATGATGACTGTTATCAGGATATGATATTCAACATACAGCATTACAAGATTTTCATTTTTTTACAGAAACTTAACCGTTGAAAACTAATCAGTGCAAACTAGAGTGATTCAGTATAGCTTGACTTGGTAAAAGCACATAAACGTTTAATTAATTGGGTTGATACATAAATCTCCTCACTAATCACTTTTCAAAAACACTAGAAAGATCTTCAATAAAACGGCTGATATTAACGAACATTTATATAGATTACCATTTATTGAAGAGACGATGTTTAAAGATATATGTTCACTTTTAGTCTTCAGTCAAACAGCACAGAAAGTACTTGAATACTACCAAACAGCTCAGCGAAAGATGAATTTACAAGCAATTAATTTGCCATGTCCACAAAGAAATAATTTTCAACCTTTTATATATTATAAAACATTCTCTGAAATTAAATATTCTATCATTGACGTCTACCTGAAAACTATTCCTCGTGATTGGTAGAGCTGTTGCCATAACTTTTAAATCTACGTCTACCTGAAAACTAATCCTGGTGATTGGTAGGGCTATTGTCATAACTTTTACATCAAATTAAACAATCTGCTTATGATACCAATACATGTGTTAATACAAATGCTTTCCTAAATCACAAATTCAAATTATATGCAATGATTCACCAGCTATCATGTGATAAATTAGAATTTGATTTTACCCCTTGGCTTCAATATTTTTAAAATGTCATTTGCTGAAAGCTTATGATGTTATTGCAGTTGCAAACTCAAAATAAAAATTCTCAGGTAAAATTTTAATAAAAATATTCATGACATATTTCAGTACTAGCTGACTTTATATACCTTTGTGTGAAAGACAAACTCGCTTACTGTATTGATAGCTGATGGATTCATAATGTCTTATGAATGTAATGTGTGTTAGACCAGATTTGCGTTTGACTTGTCCGAATGCATATCGGTTCTTTTTTGGAAACACAATCTGCAATTTCGAAAGTTGGCGTTGAATTTTAGACGTCGCTACTTTAAATATTTGATTGATTGTTGTTTGATTATCGTCTAGTGGTAAATGTAGCATGCATACTCAGGACGACTTAAATTATTTGGGAAATATGGCAATATACATAGTTGATGGAAGAACACTTACCAGAAACTATAAATTAAATCGCCTTTTGGTAGAACTGTGAACATTTTGAGTAAATTGCTCCTCAACATTTAATACTGTTGGATTTCCAATACTTATATATGGTTTCAAAAACCAATGACGTAAAATAAATGTGCAAAATGTGCAAATACTGATTCAAGGGCACTTCTGTTTTTGTTTTTTTGTGCGGTTTTTCACCTAGTTGAACGTTGATGTTGAAAGGACAATTTGAAAGTTCACTGCCATCGTTGACTTTGTTTAATATGGTTGATATTAACGGTCTTTTCATTGCAACACTTTCTAGTAAGCAGAGCATTATGTTTCTCAGAATCACATGATTATGTTATTTTAAGCTTAATTCACCAATTGAGACAAAAACACATGTTTTATCTTTAATTCGAAAAAAGACTATAAATGTGAAGGCTTTTAGAATTATGCTAGGTCTATATTACATTCTATTATCTAAATGTTATATTAGTTTTTAAGTTAATTTTATAATAGTTTTTAGAAAATCTTTTTATTTTGTTTCAGTGAACGAAACCTAAGACCAAAATTGCCACTTTAATGGAATAAAATGGGTTTTTTATCGGACATAAATAACTGACCGTATACGGTATGTCCTTTAGAATTTCAGTGAGTTTAAATTCAATGGACACAAAGAAGGAAGAATATGTCTAGATATGTCTAGAAATACTACTGACAGTTTTTAATGCATGGTACTTTACCATTTGTTACACTGTGATTTAATTGTCATACAATTGTGTTGACTTTACAGAAAATCATTACATGTATGTTAATTTGTATTCGTTCTTATAAATTATGTTTTTGCAATAAATTCAACTAATGCTAATAAGACCATATCAGCTATAATCATCACTTCTAGTCCGTACCCTCTTACAAACATCCGAATGTTGACTTACATTTTATTCAGAGGCCTAATTTATCGATTTTTTTAAGTTGCCTTATCACATCTTCTCTTCTTTCTGGGTACAATCGAATAGTTTTGGAATTATAGGTGTGCACCAATTTTGACAAAGAGTAGAATCTTTAGGTAGTTCATTTTCATCACAAAAAGTATTTATTTAGCTATTTTTGGAATGATATATTTGTTTCAAATAAGAATGTGCATCTAGTAAGATTACCACGGTTTGTTTACATTATAGGATATTTATGCGTAAGATACCGATTCGTGCTTCTAGAAAGCCTTGCATCAGGTACCCTTAAAACCGTTAGTTAGAAACCTAAAATATCAATAAGTTTACCGATGTTATCTACAAAACAAAGAGAATCATAGATACAAATTCCTTGTAAGAGGTCATACAATATCTTACTTTTAAAAAACCTCAATGATTCCAACCACAATTGCACAGAAAATGATATCTTCAAAAAGCTTGAATTTTGATCGATAAAATTAAGCGTATTTGTTGAGTTTGACAGACAGTCGATATTCAAATAGATGAACCATTTTGCCAAATTCTTTAATATCGTTTCATACATATTGATGATTATAGAAACACAAGTGTCAATAAGACAACCATCCACACCGGTCTGCAATACTCGGATGAAAGCCTTACATCCCTCAACAATGATCAAAACTCAATAATCAACATTACACGGAATGCTTTGATCTCATATATATCCCAGTGAGCTTGTAGTTAAGGATGCTACCGTAACTAGAAGATCTGCTTCATTATCGATCTTTCTTGATATAGATACAAGTGGACGACTTCAAACTAGAATTGATAACAAACGTGATGATTTCAGCTTTCCGTTGTTAACTTCTCATTTCTCAGCAGTAACATATCCTCTGCCCAATCTATCGCGTTTACATATCTCAATTGATATGTTACGCTCGTGCAGGCTAGGTTCACAGTATACGGACTTTTTTTGGAGAGATGTGCTTCTGACACAAAAACACCTCTAACAGGGCTATGAAAACGACTGATAGAAATCAACATAACACAAGTAATACGGTCACTACCACAAATTGGTTCTATACTGGTCTTAAGGTATTATAATAGTCCTCTGATATGTAAGTTTACCGATTGTGTCTTATTCCCTATTGTGACTTTTTTACTGAGTGTGGATTCGCATGGCAGATGAGGCTTTCATAAGCAGATGACGATTTCCCTCTTGATGCAACCAGTCTCATTCCTTCTAGAGTTTCCTTTCGTTTTGTGTTTTGCCATGTATGGTCTTAGTGGATTTATGAGTTAACATCGATAAATTAATGTTGCCTCTAATTTACCGATGTTCAAAACTAGTAAATCCATTTTGAATATACAAATCAAGAGAGATAGCGTTCGTGAGTATCAAACCAAAACGGCCAAAACAGAACAGCCATAACTGTCTACGGTCAAAGTCGAAAATAACTGAAATCCAGACGAAACAATATTTCATCCATTACGGAGCATCGACTATCCCGATTAGCAAGGAAAATAGGAACAGTTGACACATTAAATTATCTTGTCCATTATTTATTTAATGTCAGTAATACTTGAATATAATATAAAAGTTTCGAACAGTGAAGACATAAAACCGATGATTTCATGTTTAAAATATTCTTGACCTTCCATGCATAGGACTGAGAACCCGGCCTGTCTAACTAAAACAAAATACCATTGGAACCACAGGAGCTTTAAAAAGAGCTCAATGTCGTACGTAGAGTCTAGTGTATATGCATGTCCACTCCTTATGAACAATCCAAATACCAGATTTTGTTGATTTATTATAAATACTGACTGCATCCAGTAACCGACCAGACCACTCATGTGTGAATATGGGGTCAAGATCACATTAAAAATGTAAGACGGACACATACAACCAACAGAGGATTCAACTTTAGAATAAATGATATGTAAAGAAGTTATCTAGAGAAAGACTTGAACCTTCCCTAAGGCAAGTTGTCATACGGCCCATGTTAAGGCCCTTTTGGTTATTGATCTCTCTAACGTTTTATAGTTCTGGTCACGAGCGTATCTGTTAAAAATGATTACAGAAACACGTGTTGTACAAGCTATACCCACAGAAATCTTTTTATCGGTTTTTAAAAATAAATAACCAAAATGTTTGTGTTTGTCTGTCTATTCATAGTTACTGATAGACTAATCTAATCCCCCCCCAAAAAAAAACCCAGACCACAGGAGAATTAAAGAATGATTAAAGTGACATATTAATGTCAGTGTCAGACGGGCATATGCTTACTTTATCCACATACACGCCTGGTAAACCATCAAATCTCAGCCAAATGGTTAAGCGAGAAAAAAGTTTACTGGCACATCCTGTTGAACTTTTCTGGTATAAAGTATCAAAAATATACATAGGGAAGGTCGACTTTTCGTCAATTTATTGTCAATCTGTGAATTTCTTGTTAAATAGGAGAATGTCATGACATAGATAAATTAATGAGAGCTTGTCTCGTTCATTACTCGGACGGTGACGGGACCAATATAATGTAAACTGACATCGGAATCACTTTTTCCCCGCAGGTAAGTGAGGCCAGCTCAGTGAGTTTTTGACAAAATGACAGTGATCTCACCAATAAAGTTAACGTAATAGTTATACACCGAGGGATAGGTGTGTCTGGATAAGAAACCCCGACGGCTGGAATCCAGACACGCCGTATCCCGAGGTGTATAACTAACTTGCACCCCATGCTAAACCCTATATTTCTTAACCTTGATTACTAAATGAAAAAGAATGGATAGCTTATTTATTTACAATATCAAACCATGATTTATAAGATTTTTTTTACATGAAACCCCACTAGTAACCTTACTTTGGCTATTTTCGTTCAAACTTTGACAAGTGAGTAGATTTTACAAATGTCAAAGATGCTGTTTTGCATATTCCCGTTAAATCCTTGTGCTAATATGGATCAGCAGGTCAAGGTTGACCGGTTCGTGCATTTTCATTACAAAAATGAATACATTCATGCTCCTTGTATGCAGTTGTCAATATGGACGGGTGTAAGACGGACGACATTTTGAGTCAAGCGTTGGGTTTGGTAGAAGAGACTAAAGATAAAGGCAATATAATAACCCAAAGTACTTACCTGTATCAGTTTTATGAAGGTAATCATAAATGTATTTTTTATGTTACGGTTTTATAACCCCCCTCTCTATTATCAAGTATAAACAAACATTCATATTCGGACATACTGAGGATAGGTGTGTGTGGATTAGAAATACGAGGACCGGACACGCTCAACATACAAAAATGTAGATTGAATATTTAGGAACTCCCTTTTTTGTGGGGCAATCCAGGGGTGGAGGTCCGGGAGTTAGAAGCTCCGTTTTTTTAAAGATCAATGCTTAAGAATAGAGACATATGACCAGGATCAGGGGCGGATCTAAGGGGGGGGGGGGGGGTCCGGGGGTTGGAACCCCCCCCCCCCCTATTTTGTGACGATCAGTGCATTTGAATGGGGAAATATGGTTGGAACCCCCTTTTTATCCTGGGTTGGGACCCCCCCTTTTAAAAGAGGCTGAATCCGCCCCTGGGGATCAAAAGTTTTACCTTCAAGCAAAGGAGTATTTAAAGGATTTTTTTTTATTCTAAATAGATGCTTAATAATTTGAATTTCAAATAGCGAAACAATTTTAAAAAAACACATGTTAGGAAATTTAAATTGAATTTCCTAAAATTTGGTTTTTTTTATATCTTGAAACAACTTGTAGTGAACACTATTAGTAATTTCTTTTGTTCATTCTATTTAAAAAAATAATCAATTTCTATTGTTATGAATAACAGTGGACTGTGTTTTCGGGATGTAGAAGCAGGGGTTTCCAGAAACCCCGCTCGTCACACCCTGTGGTCAAAATCCATTGTTCTTCGTTACAATAGATCTATTCAATTTACACTTGTTTCAGAAATAGAAACTATGAAGTATAACAATAGAACTGGGGTGTAAATTTATATCAGTATATAAGTATTCTTCTTAATCAATAAAAACGTTTAATAACATTTTGTTCTATTTCTTTACGAATATGATTTTATTAAGCTGAAAAAGTTCAAAAGTGTGTCGGGTTGAGATTGTCGGGTATCGGTTGTGATATTCTGTACCAAATTGAGATTTTCTGTCAAATAAAACTTTCAACTAGCGAAGTATCGGATACGACCGTCAAAATTCATAATCTTTTTGTATAGCGGGTTTCATTTTGATATGTTTCTAGTTTTAACATTAGATTTATATGGAGCCTTGCTGGTCTTGTACAGATACTAAAGAGTTGTGGTTTTTCAAAGTCTAGCTGACCAAATGGAAAGTCTAGCACTGAAGATTTAAAATCTAACGCAGAAGATATAAAGCCAATCGTGTCGATATAAAGTCTAACGCTGTACGTACTAAGTCCGGCGCAGGTGGTGTAAAGTCCAGCTCTGTAGAAGAAAACTTTCCGAGCTTTAGATGCAAAGTTCAACTATGACTGTCCAGTTCAGAAGGGGCCTTAAGCTGTGATATGGTTATATGATTGTTTACCATATGACTCTCTGGAACGCAAGGAATTGAATGTAGAAGAATTTAAAGTTTCATTCTTAAGAAACTTCCATGTTGTATTTACAGCATACCACCACAAAATTACTGGCTGCTTTGTCGGCCGGTACAATCACAGACCGCTTTGCGGTTACTTGAAGTTTGTTTCTTATTCTTGAAATAGGCGTATATGCACTCTTTTATTTATTTCTTAATTATTTTCAAAATGTGATATTCGAATATCCACAACATTCATACATTTATTTAAATAAAAGTCAAGAGATTTTTTATCAGGTTTTTCCCGTTTACACAATGTTCACAATACGACGAAAGAGCATCTTTTATGACCTGACGACACGGTTTCCGATCTATAATTTTAGATGGAGGA